TTTCATATTATATCTTCTTTGTCGTTTTCCGCAAAGATTTACAAATCTTTATTAACACCGATTTATCATTCTCCTTCGAACGTAAAATATTTTCATTGAGTGTAAAAAATTATTTGTAATTATCTTTTTCCCTTATTTTACATTTACGTAGTTATCTGTCAACTAGAAATATTAATAACAACGAGATAACTTAGTTTGCAGATATTTTTAACGTAATGATTTATTTACCCAAGGATTTTTTTGTTTTTTTATTCGTTGTTAATCTTATTTTATCATTTTTTTTTCTTCTTTTTTTTTTTTTTTAAATATTATCTGTTACTTCGATGTAGCGTATATCTAAAATTAATTTACGTTCGTTAGTTGTTTTTTTTCTTTTTTTTGTTTTTTTATTCGTTGTTAATCTTATTTTATCATTTTTTTTTCTTCTTTTTTTTTTTTTTTAAATATTATCTGTTACTTCGATGTAGCGTATATCTAAAATTAATTTACGTTCGTTAGTCGTTTTTTTTCATTTATTATCCAATATTATTAGCATAATCCTTTTGCATAGTTGAACCGGTAATTATGTGTTTCATAAAGCTATTACGTATATGATAGAGGATATTCACAGTTAATATCTGTGAACACAAATAAAATCTCTATTAAACCGAGTCTTCTTATCTGGTAATGCTTTATTATTCAAACATTCTGTTATACGGCTATTTTTCGATCCCATCGAGAATTTATATATTACCTTCTCTATTGATAGAGAACCGTGTTACGCCAGTTTGATTATGGTATAATGTCCTCGTACGTCGTAATTAGTGAATAATTACGGCCACAATGACAAACAATAATGTAACGTTATTAACGCGGAAACGCATAGAGTTAACAGTACAGAAATTAGATAAGAGGTAATTAATAATCTTGATCATGGTAAAAGCGTATAAATTTTCGTATACATTTACTAATTGTTTACTAATGCAGGACAACTTACCATCGATGTCGTTTAAAAGCAGAAATTGCGTGTGTATTTTCAATTTTCAATATATACCACGAAGTACTACTTGGTATTATCGAGTTTTAATATGGATAGTCATGGATAGTAAGTCATTAATATAATCAAAAAATATCGAAAAATTAATCGAAAATATTATATGAAATAATAATATATTATGCAACTATAACTGATAACTAAAAAGAAAAAAAAAATACTATTCAATTTCGTAAATTAATTATTAAAATAATTATTGAAAAATTATATTAAAGATAAGATTAATACAATTTATTTTTTCATTTTTTTTTTTTTTTTTTAATTAATCCATATTACGCTCTGAATATTTCATGCTTTTTCATATCGTGTAAATAAAATTCAAATTTTTCATAAATGTTTTTAAATCTGTCCAATTTGATATTTGATCAAATTGAACGCGAAGCCAAAAGCGACCTCTTCAATTAACCTTTCGTTAGATGGTTCAAATGCGGCTTTTTTTTTTTATTCAAAGCAGCATCAACACGACGGTCGAATTTCGCCGTTACAATCGACGACTACACGCACGAGGCACAACGTACGTACGTTCGGCTCGTGTAAGTGAGCGAACGTGTAACGTGTGCAGACACGTACAATTTCACCCCGATAAAACGTTCCCATAGAGAGCCGGCGCACGGGGTGTCGTGGGAACCGTTTCACTCGATATAAAGCATAACGTACGCATTTTTATGGGGCGCGTAGACGTAGCCAAGTAGCTTGGGGATTTCTTTGTAATGAATCGACGATTCTTCTCCACCGACTTTCCCCCAATTTTCCCCTCCTTGCCTTGCCTTCGTCGATCGTGTAATGGAGTATTATGTTTCGAAAAAGAAGTGAGAAATTTGACTATTAGGTATTTGGAAATTTTTAGAAAGAGTTTGAAAGTAAAGAAACTTACTTATTTTCAAATTTTTATTGGCAAGTGGATAAGTTGATGTATTTTTTTTATTATGTTTGAAAAAGAAAGTGAGAAATTTGATTATTCAGGTATTTCTAAATTTTAGAAACAGTTTGAAATCTATTTTTTTTTTTTTTGATTATATATTTTCATTATAAATTTTCATTATAAATAAATATGTTGATTATTTCTAAATTTTAGAAAGAGTTTGAAATTTATTTTCAAATTTTTATTAGAAGTGAATAAATTGATTACGTTTGAAAAGATAGTAAGAAATTTGACTATTAGGTATTTGAAAATTTTTAAAAAGTTTGAATATAAAAAAATTTATTTATTTTCAAACTTTTATTATAAGTAAATAAATTGATTATGTAATACCGTATTAGAGATATTTCTAAATTTTAGAAGGAAAGTCAGAAATTTAGTTATTTTAAATATATTTATTTCCAAATATTAAAAGGAATAAAAAAAATGCATGTATTTTTACATTTTAGTTTGAAAAATTTGAAAAAAAAAAGTTTCAAATTTTAAAACGTGAAAGTGATAGCAAAACAAATTTTTAAATAACTTGTTTGTTGAGCAAATGAATCAATATTTGGGAAGTATAAATCTGGTGATTAACGTTTGTATTGATTCAAACGGATATTGGTGAACGGTTTTCTCATAACGATATATCGTAATACAATGTCTTGTACAAATTCGACGAAAATGTTAGTGCATCGATCGTCCTGTTCCCATTTCTTCGGTTCCGATGCGGATACCTGCAATCTGAGAAATCGATCCAACTGACTGTAAATTTCATTGATTCAATTATTATTAGTAACTTTAATATGATATGATATCATCAATTTAATGGATTTAAATTTTAAAGGAAAAAAATTGAATATTATTTAAAATATTTATTAAAATATATTTTAATTAAAATGTCTTGTTTTTAAAAGATAAAGTTTTGAAGCACCACTTCTTTTTAACTTAATTTTTTTTTTTTTGTATCTTCATCGATAATACGTACTCGATGAATAGAGATACGATTTTGAATCTAGGAAATTCATTCAAGGATTATCGAATTCAAAGGATTATTCAATTTAATCGATTTATTATCTATTTATCGAATATTATGAAAAAAGTAATATTACTGATTTAAATTATCGATCGATTAAATTATCTATCTATTATTCATTAATCTATTATCTATAAATTATCTATCTTTTATCTCATTAAAAGATAAAAGATACATGGAACTTCGAATTTTTCTATGTATCTTTAGAAACAAAAAAAATCCTTAAAGTATACTTCAACTAAGGGGAGAAGAATTGACATTATAATTTTCGAATATTCGATATTAAATTATCATCAATTTTCTTTTAACTTCTGTTTCTAGGGAAAAATTAATCGTTAAAAATATTTAATTTCTTAAATTTGCATATAAAAAGGACTATGCAAGAATGTATTTATCATCTTTTAAAATGAAACGTTTAATGAACCATTTTGAAAGTGTTATCAGTTGAAATAATATTTGCCATTTTAAAAGTTAAAATGTAAAAATAAGTATAAAGATAATCTTTTTTAAGTTTGAGTATTTTTTTTTATTTCATTTATTTATTGTTAAAATATTATTAAAAAATCGACAATACAAATATTTTATTAATTTACAATGTATCAATTATCGTATATATTTATAAAAATACTATTTTTATTCAAATTAATAATTCCGAAAAATAAAAAAAAAATAAAAAAAATAACAATAATTTTAGAATATATATTTTTTAAACAAAAAATATGCAATGTTTGTTTTTATGATTGCAGAAGAATAATAAAATAATGGGATATAACAAATTCGTAACAAGTTTTTTTTTTATATTTCAGATAAACCTCCTTCAGTTTACATTGGAAACAAATACTTATCGGTAAGTGTTTGAACGCATTTTTTTTTTCAATAATGGCTTATTCAAATATTTACAAATAACTTATTTAGAACTTATTTTAAATTTAAAAATTTAAATTAATTTAATTTAAAAATTTAAAAATAAAAAATCTCCTAAAGAGATTTAGGAATATCGATCGTTTATCTTTAAAATCAAAAGTCACTGATTTTAATTTTTCAAACTTTATCAATATGCAAAAATTTTTATCAAAAAATTAATGTGATATTTCAAGATCTTGTCTCGTTCAATAGTTAACCGTAACGGGTTGAACGGCGAATAATCGCGGGCAACGTTCGGGCAACATCGCGCGAAATCGGGTAAAATCGGATGATATCGGGCAACATCGATAAACCTCGGATAACAGACAATATACTTACAAGACTTAAAATCTTAAACCCTTGGCTCTTAATTTTGCCGCCCATAGCTAGTTCTAAATACCGTGGAGGACTTACTCGCGCAACAAACAGAACCGTATTACGTGAACTATACTTTCATCCCTCATAAGCATAGGATCTAAGCATGTGTCACGTTCTTAAAATCGTTTTTGTTTTTTAGAGGAAATGTTCACTTCGAGGAACTAGGGTTTTAACATCTGTTCACTTATTCATTTCCTGGGCATTGGAATATCGATACCACGTGTTTCCTATCTGTAGCATCTATTTCTTATATGGATGATGGCGGATTAAAAAAATGGATCAAAAATAAGCTCTTTGTAAGTGGGATGGGAATACGATATATTAATTATCAATTTAGAATCTATTAGATATTGAAATATACTTAATCTTACATCTTAAAGTCTATATCGAATTATCTAAAATTTTTTTATTTTTAATATTTTTTATTATGATGTGATTTATATAAAACATATCTAACAAATAATATATAAGTTTAAGTGTTCAAAAGAATCAAGAAGCTTTAACCAAAAAGCGTTATTTATATACGTACAAAACTATATGAATAAATCCGTATAAGGATGTACATTGTGATATGCGAAATAATATAGTATATTTACAATAAAATTGTTAAAGCTCGTCGTAGCACATGTTAGCCTTTGTACCTGTCGACTCGATGTTCATGGGAATACACCGGCATGTGGTTTATCTACAACCATATGGCGTATTGGTAAATATATGCGAAAAGAATAGAGTCCCATATAAAACGTTACTTTTTTATTACCATCATGATTTTAATACTATATCCATTATTCAAATCATCGGATGATTTGTCATATCTGACGCCTTTTTTAATTTTTTTTTTAATTTCATTTGGCCATCTTATATGTGAATTGTAGAATTAAATATCCAACAATTTTCACGCTATTGAAATCTGTACATGGAATTATTTCATTGACTTCACAATTTTTATCCTACACCTCCGTCTTCTTTTCACATTTTAAATTTTCGCGCGCGAAACGAATATCTTATTACACTAGATTTTAAAAGAATCTCTATCAAAAAATAATTATCACGAATGTTGTTAATTTATTTATTCGTTGAATAATATTCACCTTTTATCTTTGAATAACTTATAATTTAATCATTCTTTAAAATGTCAAAAAATTTAAAATTATCGAATTAAAATATAAAAATATAAAGAAATTATAAATATAAAGTTATACAGAATATTCCTCCGCGCCACGTTCGATATTCTTAACATTGGCAAAAATGTAAATCCGAAATCGCGGAGAGTTGGAAATGGCGCCGTTTATCGTTCTTAGTAAGTGTTTCCACCCCTCGATGTTTTCTCCCGTTGTCGCGTTTAAAGGCATCGTTGAGCCGCAAAGAGTGCCGTAAAGAGCAGAGAGTAAATGACGCATGCGAGAGATCTCCTCCGTGCAAGTTGATTCACCGTGACTCGTTCAATCGGAAAATGAAAATCAACTCCCGTCGTGGATCACTGCACGCGTAATGTCGTGATCGTTGTTGGATGGTACTTTCAAGTGTTTCGGATAATTTGTTAATCTCGATAATGGGAAATTACAATAATAGGAAATTGATTTTTCTTTTCCTTTTATTTTATGCATGTTATGTGGTGGTCTTTTGATCGTATATATCGTATTGGTCGGATCATGAATTATTATAATATTACGATAATAATTGGAATAATTAATTATATATATATAGATGTTTAATTTTATCTCTGATAGATATATTTTAATCGAGATATAAATTAATCGCATTTGTCGCGCAAAATATAGAATGCAAATTGAAATTATTAAATCAATATGTGAAATGTCATTTTTTTCAAACGAAATAATAAACATGATCATTTTTTTTTTCAATTTTTATTACGATTTGTTTTTAAATTTCATGGAAATATTATAAATTATTATTCTTACTCGAATTGTTAATAATAATCCTTAGCTGTTTCTTAATTTTAGTATTTCAGAATAATTAATATTTTCTTAACATACGCAGAAAAGATTTAAATTGTATTCTATGTGGTTCTTCTCTTGATGATATTAATCATATTGAACATTTTATTATTTTCCTTCTCAACTTTATTATATTATTATTCTTTTATCGTTTCTTTCTTGAATTGAATTATTGATACATTTCACATGAATAAATTAAAATTGACAAATATATAAAATTGATCAATGTTTTGGGTTAAAATATTCATTTCATTTAAATTTAAAATCAACATGAAAATAATAATCTTAATAAATTGTTTAAAGTATCGTATTTTTTAAAGTATTAATTCGTTCGTTATTTTTATCATAAATAAATTTTCAACATACTTTTTTATATCTATCTAAGCTATAAATTTACCATATAAAATTTGTCCATTTACAGTTGTCAGTGAAATTTAGTTTTCATGAATAATAAAATTTCTATTCATCCACTTTCTTTCAATACTACTTTCCTCGTTATATTTTATTATGAAAATGTTTCTTTTCACTTTCAACGAGCGTAAATTACATTATACATCAAAAGTCCTTCTTGGCAAAATTAGTCTTTCTAGAAATTATCTCTTAAACTACTATCCAACCACCGTAGAATTTAGTCATATCTCATTATTTTTTATCATCATTCTTCTCTCTATCTTTACTATTCCGACTACTAGTATAAAAACTTTCCAATTGAAACTCTCTCTCCCATTCTGTAAAATTACAACTAAAATTACATTTTCGTCTCCGTTATTCTCCAAAAAATAAAATATCGTTTTAAGAATTAATTTGAAAAAAACCTCGTTATTTCTTCTTTTGAAAAGAAGATCCTTCAAAAAAAAGGAAACCAACATTTTCCATTCCATTTCTTCCATACTACCTAAAACCACTCAACTTGATAAAATGTTTTAACACTTATCATTCCACACTCCATGCTCGCATACCGAGAATATTTCTTCTTATTGCATACCATCAGGTGGCTGATTACACTTATACACCTCGTCATCTCTTTTCTGCTCGTCCACGCGCCTTGCCTTCCCTGCTCGCTTCCTCCCCCTCTTCTATCTCTAATCTACTCGAGCTTGCCACGAGCGCAAAGCGACTAGAAAAAGCAAACGTGGAAGGTTGCGGCGATAGCTGAAAGTCACCCTTCCTCGAATTCACCTTCCACCATCCACCAAGTGCTCTTTTCCTCCTTCCTTTCTTCCTTCCACATCTCTTCCGAGGTCCCCCTTCGCCTTCCTTGCGCTGTTCCTTTCTCGGTGCATGCACCTGTGCATATCGCCCTCGACACATAGCCCTGTAATCGTGGAACGAGCGTGTACGCACGTGAAAAGGTCGACGAAAATAGTCGCTCTAGCCAGCAGCCATTCGTAGCTGGATCAAGGCTGTTCGAACGTTATTTTCGTCGACGGGGCGTTTTCACACTGCACCCCGTGCAAATAAACGGGGCGAATTCGATTTGATCCCTCCTCTTTTGTTTCGTCGTCCCGGCTAAATTCTTCACCGGATTATTTATAATTCGGTCGGTTTAATCGTAAACGTAAGGGAGGAAGCGAGGTGACTAAGGGTTACCCCTATTCGAATTTTTTTGAAATTTAAATTCGTATAAATATTCCATTCTTGGAATTCTTGATGGACTCTGAATGTAAATGGAGAACTAAGCGGAAGTTTTTCTAAATTACTTTCTCTCTCTTTTCAATATTCTTCTGAAATTTAGATTGATATTTTTCCTTTCGAATTCTTCTGACATATAATTTTGAATATTTAATCCATAGTAAACAAAAGCAAAGGTCTCAAGATCCCTCTACGAATTTCAATAAATTTTGAATATTAATTTAGTATTTTGAATATTAATTTTAAGTTTTTCGACTTTTAACTGAAGTTTCGCAAAAATGAATAGTAGAACGCCTTTTTTAGAAAAAAAAAAAGCAAATTTTTTTTTTTAAAATTGCATCAACTTTAATAGTATATTTTATTACCAAGGCTCATCGCGGGAAGATTGCAAATATCACGCGTAATTTACAACCGTAATGAACCGGAAAGCCATCACTTCCTATTCGCCGTTTGTTATTCAGATAATGAAAAATTTACAAATATTCGATTATGTATGTGTGATTTTGCATTTTCCAAGACGGTTTTTAATCACTTTTGTCAAATTTATCTTATACTTTATCGATTTATATCGCACGATATAGGTAAGTAAAGTAAGTCCCTAGCTTCCTGTGTTTAGATATGAGAAAATAGCAAAGAGGAACGAAACCGAAGACAGCTGCCAACTTTCTTTCTTCCTCTGTGATCGTGGAGCTTACTTTACTTTAAAACTAAATCAATGCAGCTGCTTGAAAAAATACGGTCATTCAGATATTTTCACTTCCCTATTTCCCATCTTTGCTCGTAATTAAAACACAAGTAGATATTCAATGAACCATTGGTAATTTGATTGACATCGTTGCATATAAAATTTTCGCAATTTTAATTTTATTTATGGAAAATTTGAGAATAATTAAATTTCTACCAATTAAATCAATTTACGTGAACTTTTTTATAATATTAAATAAATAACTTTTAACTTATAAAAATTTGGAGAACCAATCAACTTCCGTTATATGAACTGTCAGCATCAGGTAAATGAAATCCTAATATCACATTTTCTTTGACAGGAGAAATGTAAAATTGATTTTAAAAAAACAATCATTGATAGTACAAAATTCACATATTTATTTTAAGAGAATATTTTTCTCGTTATTTGCGAATTAATTCATAAATTAAAAAATAAAAAAAGATATATGTGATTCGATTTACGAATCAAAAATGTATGAACAGTTAACATAAATCGTTTCTATCAAAACAATATCAAACAGATCGATAGTTGCGCTTAATCAAACAATTTCGTCTTCTTAATTCATTCTACCCCCCATCGATGTTGCCTCGAGACGAAGGTTCTACGCGGAATCTCGGTCGAAAGATCTGAAAACGAAAGAAACCTTGGCTGGGTTTCGCGGCGAACCTCTCTCATTCTCGCGTCTCAGCAGATGTACGACCATTTGCCGTGGCAGCTGCACTACTCACCACCGTAAACTTCGAGCACCAGACCCGGACCTAGATTCGAGCTGACCCCTACGATTCCAACCTTCTCGATCGTCTCGAGGCGTTGTCTTCGTCTTCATCGCGCTCGATATAGTCAGATTCGATAAACCAAAACTCCGTACGTCTCGCACGGCGTTAATTCATCGAAGCTTCGCCCGATGGTAGCCGGTATCTCCAGTTCGAGTCGCATAATTGCGCGACAAACCGGTTTCTCGCGGTGCAAACTTGAGGTTGCCGGATGGAAAGATGCACACAGGCGCTCAGGGAACTCGGCATGGCCCTGGATCGCGATGGTGGAGTAGGGAAAAGGTATACCGGGCCCGAGTGGAGGAGCATTTACGGTTTCACGATGAAGGAGAGGGGGGAGGGAGGTTGACTCGTGCTTCGTGCCTAAATGGATGAAAAACAGGGACGACGATCTCGTATGGAACCACTGGAGAAAAGTTTGTTCCTGTGGATGGACAGATTTGTTGATTATTAAGTAATTGACGAAGGAATTATCGTGATGATCAGTTTAATAAAATTTGGAAATCACATGTAAGAAGAAACTGTAAGAGGATAAAAATCGTGTATATTTTATTTCTTGAATTTAAAATTGATTTGTTACGACGAGTTATCCTTTGAATATAATCTTTTGAATATATTATTGTATAAATGTATACGATCGTGGTAAAATCGAAAAATATAAATATTTAAAAAAGTACAGGGCATCGATTAATATAGCAACACCCCTGGCGCACCGTAGGACCCGGGTAGAGAGACATGGGCCCGTTTGAACTACGGCATTCGCGTCCCGAGTGTTTCAGGGGGGGGTTCTTGCACGTCTCTAGTACGGTGGATCGTAAATACGTGTGTACCTTCGTCTCGTCGAACTTTTCCGTTACTTTGTGTTATTATAGTGAAAGTGAAATAAAATTCGTTTCCGTGTCTATTTTCTACGATAATAAACAAAGTGACGTTTAAATATTGATAATACACCATCGTGTTCTCTTTTTTTTTTTCCCCCTTAACTGATAAATGGTGTTCTAACTGTCGAAAGCTATACGTAAATCGTGATATCTCCACCAGGTGGCATGGAAGTTCTTTAAACGGAAAACAGTCGTTTTATTTAAACATTTTCGACAAGTTCTTTTGTTTTATGTATTCTAATATTTTCGTGTTCGTTATCGAATTATTGCAAAGTTTTATTCGTCACGATAAAGGATATTTCAAATGACAAACTTCGAAGTTAATCGATATTCAAGAAATATTTTTTGATAAATATAATGAAATTAATGTGAAAGTTAATGTGAAAGTGATTGAGATGATGCTCGATTCACCGATGCGACAGATCAAACGTATATTGCAGTTCCGGTGGGGTCACCGGAAGTAGCTAAGCGTGACGGCGGCAGTTCTAACGGAAAAACGTGGGAATTTCGTATCGTACCTCTTCACCTCATTGTCAGTCGCATTGTCATTAATTGGCATATTTTAAACGAGCTGCGCAATAATTGCATTAAAAATTCGCGTAACGAATAAATCTTTCTTCTCGTACTTCAAATTATATAAATGAAACGTAACTATAAATGTATAAATGATAATTCATCTTCGATAAAAAAAAAAAA